ATAAAATTGTTATAAACTGAAATATTCTAATTCACATGTTAAGATAAACATCTTTAAAATGCAAAAACTGAATATTTTTATGATAAAACTTAGGTTCACTTCTTGGGATCCCTAGATCATTCTTAAAAGATGTGATTCGGGAGCTGGAGTGATAGCACAGAGGGCAGGGCGTTTGCCTTGCACCCAGACAACCAGGGTTTGGTTCCTAGCATCCCATATGGTCCCCTGAACACGGCCAGGAGTAATTCCTGAGTGCATGAACCAGGAGTAACCCCTGTGCATGGCCGGGTGTGACCCAAAAAGAAAGAAAAAAAAAAAAAAGATGTGATTCAGGGCCCAAGGGTGTGACTTAACAGCAAAACACATGCTTGCATGTAGGAGACCTGGGTTGGCTCCAGGGGACCACACCAAAAAAAGGGGGGGAAGGGGGGCATACTCAAGCAGTATCTCAGACATTAATGCTTTGAAAACAGTATTTGACTAAAATAACAGTGTCACAAAATTTTTTAAAAATGCAATAATCTCATAACTACAAACAGCAATATACAAACAATTCAAAGCACAGTTCCATTCTGGTTGGATCCTCAGCAGGCAATTTCAAAGGCAGGACGGTTTTAGTTACAGTGTTGCTAAAAGGGTTAGATTTACAGATGAAGCCTTCCTGCAGCTCTGATTTAAAGGACTGTATAAATCCCCGAGTCGCAAAATACCGGAATTATGGAAGAGAAAAAAAATCCCGGAGTTACGGAAGAGAAAAAACAAGTCTTTGTCACACATTTGAACTTCGAAATATTCCCCTTGAAAGGCATCCAATCATTAAAGAGTTTATATCTTTTAGAGGATTCTATAATAAAGCAGGAAGATATTTCTTTCTTAATTCTTAATATTGGGGGTAGGGGAGCAGGAACACCCAGCTGTTTTCTGGGCTTCCCGCTGGCTCTGTGCACAGGGATCACTCCTGACAGTGCTCAAACCAGGCACGCCTTAGCCACTGTACTGTCTCTTTGGAACCTAAAGCAGGATTTTTAACAAGTGAAAAATATTAAGTCAGTTTGGCTTTAAAGCAAGAATTTAAAATGTTTTTTGAAAACTGTGTTAGAACTCAGAATTAGGTTGAACACATATTTTAATTATAATTTTGGGGTAACAGAGAGATAGTACAGGGGGTTGGGTGATCACCTTGTACACAGCCAAGCGGGATCTGATCCCCAGTGTCCCCTATGGTGTCCAGAGTCTCCCAGAAGTGATTCCTGAGTGCAGAGCACAGAGTAAGCATCACTGGGTGTGGCAAAAAATATTAAAATTTTTCTTACTTAAAAACAATTTTTCGGTTTTGGAGCCACACTCAGTGGTATTCAGGGGTTCTTCCTGGATCTGCACTGAGGGATCATTCCTGGCAGACTGGGAGGACCCATATGAGACACCGGGAATCCAAACCAGGTCAGCTGTGTGCAAGGCAAACACTTTATTCCCTGTACTACCACTCCTGCCCTAAAACTAAACTTTTTATATTTAAAAGAACTGCTTTTTCCAGGGCTGGAGTGATAATACAGCAGAAAGGCTGCTTGCTTTGCATGTGGCTGACCCAGGTTAGAAACCCAGCATCCCATATATTCTTGCCACCCATTCTAGGAGTGATCCCTGAGCACAGGGCCAGAAATAAGCCCTGAGCACCAGCAAGTGTGGCCTCAAAACCAAAAGAAACACAATACATATATTCTTGCCAGAGACACAATATAGGGGTTAAGAGGATCATCTGGCACATGCCAATCCAAATTCAATCCCAGCATGGCACAGGGTTCCCCAAGTACCACCAGGAATCAGCCGACCACAGCCTCCAGGTGTGGCAAAATAAAAATGATAACAATTAATAAATATATCTCAAGTCCTTTAGATTCCTTGTCTCCTTTTTTAATTCATTCTAAATCTGTGCACTACAATTACTATCTTAAATGGAAAACTGGGTAGGGATTTCATACTGATTCCCCTTGCTATCCTTCATAATGATACATAATGATACATAATGATACCTATGCCAGTTTCTGATTTTTTTCTTTTTTTAAAAAAAAAAGCTTACTGGTAAAGATATATGATATCGCTCAATGATAGAACACATGCTTTACATGTATGAGGACCTAAGTTCCATCCAGGCCAAATATATATATATATATATATATATATATATAGAGAGAGAGAGAGAGAGAGAGAGAGAGAGAGAGAATGCACACATGCCTATATACAAATGTATACAAATTAAGAAAGGATCCAAAGAGATAGTACAGTGGGTAGAGCACTTGTCTTGAACATGGCTGGCCTGGGTAGGTTCCCAGCATGGCATATGGTTCCCTGAGCACTGCCAGGAGTGATCCCTGAGTGCAGAACCAGGAGTAAGCCCTGAGCACCACTGGGTGTGAGAAAAGAAAAACTATTAGGAGTCGAAGGTTAGAAAGCACAGGAGGTAAAACATTTGCCATGCCTGCAGCCACAACCAGTAAGAAGATCCCACTCCAATCCCAGGCACCAAAGTAGAGTCCCCTGAACAATGCCAGGAATCTCTCCTAGGTATAGAGCCAAAAATAATCCCTGAACGCTGCTGGGTGTAACTCAAAAACAGAATAAAAGAAAAAGAAAGGAAAGAGAGTATAGTTGCTCTAAGTCAGCAGTTTGGAATTTATGTTGGATTTCCCGCTTGACACAATGTTATAAGTAGTAAAAGTCCTACCAAAATCTATTTAATATGTAGGGTAATATATTACAGGCTACGCTAAGAAAATCCTCAACTTCTACTTTCACTGTCAAAAAAAAAAATTATTTGGGGGTCCATGTTTTAGAACTCCCAGTGTTACAAAAATTTAGTCAGCTGATTTTGAAAGAACTTCCCTTAGGGGAAACACAAATTGACTCACTTTCATGCTATTTCCAAAGGCCTCCTAGTGCTCCCAGTCTCCATTCTCTCTCTCTATTCTATTTCCAAGTGTTGCCAGTTATCTTGAAATCTACATCACATCCTAACTTAAACACCTTGCGCTCAAATAACCTCCTGGGTAAATTCCAAACCCTTTAACAGCGGGCAGAAGGTTCACTACAAGGTACCAACCTAGCAATTTCTGGTTCCAGTTCATATACTCACCAGAAGACTTTGTCAGCAGTCCATCACAGGTCACATCCGCTCACCCCTCCATATGCTTTTCTTCCAAAACTCTACTCACGGTGGAACCCTATCCTTCCCTCCCACCTCCAGTGGCCACCTCCAGAGACATTCAGGAGTTACTCCTGGCTCTGAAAGTGCTCAGGGAACCACATAATACCAGTGTTCTAACCCAGGTCAGCTTGCACCCTCCCCCTGCAACCCTCTCTATCCTCTGACTTAAAGGTCCAACACAGATCAGTTCAAATATTACTTTCCTATAAGACCTTCCTCAATATTCCCCCAAAATACTTAAGTTTTGGTCAATCTCTGTTTCTCCAAAGCACTAATCATGATATTCAGATTCAATAAAGGTCGACTAAATTTTTAAAGCATACACATGCTTAAGTAGGGGACTAGGTGGGCATAAAGTCAAAATTTTAGAAACTTAAAGGCGTAACTGAAAACCATTTAAGGAGCGCCAGGGAGATAGTTGAAAGGGCTGAAGTCCCTCCCGAGCACCTCAGGATCCCTGAGCACTGCAGCAAAGAGCAACAGTGCCTAATCTCCACTGGGTGTGGCCCAAAACAACAGAAACAAAAGCTTAATGATAGTCCTTTATCTAAAAGCAGGCAGTAATAACAGACAATTAACATTTTAAATGGCATTTTTTGTATGAGTAAACAGGTACAGATTATAAAAAGTCAAGGTGTAAAATCTAGTTCACCATAAAAAAATAAATGTAAATATTACAACAACCTAACAATCACAGCCAAAAAGACTTAACCAGAAAGGATTTGGTAGTTTTGTATTCAATATGTGTCGGTATATAGAGCTTCTAAACCCCTGCAATGTGGCAAATTTACTTCACTGAAAATGAACTGGGCAAAGATAAGGAGAGAAATTAGTTTCTGAAGGTCAGCAGTTCTGAAATAAAATCTTCCATCATCAGCTTTTAATTCCAAAAGTAATGATCTAGGGGGAAAGGAAAAAGAGAAAAACCTCTCCACACACCCACCACACTCTGATTTTTAAAAAGAGTAATACAAACAAAACTTTAAGCCAAGAGCCATAATGAAGAGGTTATTTCCCCAAAGCGACTGTAGTGCCGGCTATTTGTTTAGAAGATGTTGGGGCAGCTTTCAGGATAAATCAACTTTTCCCAAGGAGTTCTTCACAATGAGAGATCCCACATAAATGATTCCATTTTTACTCTAATCCCGGGAGTTAAGCAAAGCAGGGATTTAAAACACTAATTATGACCCCAATTTTTTTTAAGCAGGTAAAAGACTACGTCTGACTGTAGAAAAGTAGTACTTCGTTTCCGTCAAGAAGTATCGCACTACGAAATGCCTTAAGAAAAATAAGCCGCCTCCTTCGTTCCATCACTAAATTTAGCCCTGTGGACCTACTGGTGACTCGGATCATTTTTGAAGCGTGTTCAAATCAGGATAACCAGAGGCGACCCTCCCCCTTCCCGGTCTCTTTCCAAGTGACAGTCATGCTCCCTAAGACCAGGCTCCGACCCTCGGGGCGCCTCTGGGCTCCCGGCAGACTCCCCGAGTCAGACTCCCGACCCAGAGCAGAACTGCGAGACCCGGGGACGCAGCTTGGCGGGCTGGGGGTGGGGCGCGCCGCCCAGGGCCCCGCCGGGCCACGCCGAGGGCGCCGGGTCCCGACAGGCAAGGGGTGCGAAGCAGAGATTCGGGGTGCCGGGGCCGGAGCCTCAAACCCCAACCCGGTCCACACTCGGCTGCAGGAGCTCCGCCTCCCAGCCGGGGCCTTGCTCCGCTCCAGCAACACCGGCCAACTGCGAGCGTCCCGGACCTAAGAAAGAGCAAGACCCCGAGGGGCCCGAGGGGCGTTCACCCACCTGGCCACGTCCCGCCGAGGACCGGGCCCAGCAGGCCGAGGAGCCAGAGCCCCTGCAGGCGCAGGGCCCCCGCGCGCCCGCGCGCCCCCATCCCGGCCGCTCCCGCGGGTCCCGCGCGCTCCATCGCTCCCCAGCCCTGCCCGGGCCCCAGCGCTGGCCGCGGTGCGCGCGCCCGGCGCTGACGCAAGCCGGCGGCTGTCAGGGCTCGCTCCCGACATCCCGGGCTGGCTGACGTCGGGGAAACCCGGGCCCGCGGGAGGGCGAGATTCCGATCTCGGCCCTGACGCCGCCCCCCCCCCGCCCCCAACCCCGCCGCCCCGGGCTCCGCGCCCGCCTACCCCGGGGAAGGGAGAGGGAGCGCCCGCAGCGCCGGGGAGGAGGGCCGGGGACCCGGGGGCGGGGAGGAGCTGAGCCCAGGATGGGGAGCCGGAGCCCACCGGGAGGAGCGGGAGCCCAGGAGGAGGAGCGGGAACCCAGGGGGAGGAGCGGGAGCCCAGCTGGGGGAGTGGGAGCCCAGGGGGAGGAGCGGGAGCCCAGCTGGGGGAGTGGGAGCCCAGGGGGAGGAGCGGGAGCTTAGGGGGGAGGAGCGGGAGCCCAGACGGGGGAGCGAGAGCCCAGCGGGGGGAGCGGGAGCCCAGGGGAGGAGCGGGAACACAGGAGGAGGAGCGGAAGCTTAGGGGGAGGAGCGGGAAACCAGGTGGAGGAGCGAGAGCCCAGGGGGAGGAGAGGGAGTCCAGGAGGAGGAGCGGAAGCCCAGGGGGAGGAGGGGAGGGGGGTGGAACGGGAGCCCTGGAGGAGGAGGAGAGGGAGTCCAGGGGGAGGAGCGGGAGCCCAGGGGGAGGAGCGGGAACCCAGGGGGAGGAGAGGGAGTCCAGGAGGAGGAGCGGAAGCCCAGGGGGAGGAGGGGGAGGGGGGTGGAGCGGGAGCCTGGGGGAGGAGGGGGAGGGGGGGTGGAGCAGGAGCCCTGGAGGAGGAGGAGAGGGAGTCCAGGGGGAGGAGCGGGAGCCCAGGGGGAGGAGCGGGAGCCCAGGGGGAGGAGGGTCTTGATGGCAGGAGGAGGAGGAGCCGCAGCCCAGCGGGAGGAGCCTGAGCCGAGGAGGAGGTGTGTGAGCCCAGGAGGAACCTGACAGCCTAAAGAGCGTGAGCCTAGGGGGAGGGCTGTAAGCCCAGGAGGAGCTTGAAGCCTGGAGGGAGCACGAGCTCAGGAGGAGATACGTATGCCTAGGAGGAGCTTGACGGCAGGAGGAGGGCGGAGCCCAGAGGAGAAACACGAAACCCAGGAGTAGCGTGACGTCAGGAGGAAGGCCGTGACGCCCGGGCAGAGCCATGACGTCGACCCCGGCCCACCCCGCCTCCGAGGCGCTGCCCACTGGTTCGTTGGCTGAGGGGGTGGGCGGGGTTCCGAGACGCTATCCGCTGGTTCGTTGGCTGAGGGGGTGGGCGGGGCTCCGAGGCGCTGTCCTCTGGTTCGTTGGCTGAGGAAGTGGGCGGGGCTGCGAGGCACTGTCTTCTGGTTCCTTGGCTGAGGAAGTGGGCGGGGCTCCGAGGCGCTGTTCGCTGGTTCGTTGGCTGAAGGTGGGCGGGGCTCCAAGGCGCTCCCCCATTGGCCGTTGGCAGCGAGGCGTTGCGGCTCGGCGGAGAGGCCGGAGCAGGCCCGGCTCGCGTCGGCGCGGGTGCAGGCGGGGAAGATGGTGTTGGGGGGCTGCCCCGTGAGTTATTTGCTGCTGTGCGGGCAGGCGGCCTTGCTGCTGGGGAACCTGCTGCTGCTGCACTGTGTCTCGCGGAGCCATTCGCACAACGCCACTGCGGAGCCGGGCGCCGCGACCCCCGAGGGCTACCCCGGCGCCCCGAGCTGGGACTACGGAGACCCCCACTCGCCGGTCATCCTGTGCTCCTACCTGTAAGCTTCCGGGGCGGAAGAAGCGGGGCGGGGTCCGCGGCTCTTCCCTGCCTGCTGCCGGGGGGCGGGCGGGGGGAGGGGGTCTCAGACCCTCTGCTCTGGTGACGCCCGGGCACCGCGCGGGGATAGCGGGCCGTGGGGGGCGGTGGCCGGCGTCGGGACAGCGAGAGGGGAAGGCCAGGGAGGCGGGACGGCACCTCCCGGAAGGGGGCCGAGCGCGGGCCGTCGCGGTCCGCTCGCTCTGGCCGGGGAGAACCCTTAGCTGGTGGGTTTGAGCGAGGCACAAATCGCCTGCCCCGATCCGGGAACACTGTCTCGACCCTTGCGGAGCCAGGTCATTGATTAAGATCACTTTCTGCCCAAGTAAGGAAGGGCCTCTGGGAAATGCAAGGAAATGCAAATAATTCTCGGAATTATTTGACTTCGGTTTTGCCCAGCTGACCTTGTGACTGTGTGCCCAGGGAAAAAATTAAGCCATAGCATATTCTGCACCCAGAGGACCAGAAGCGCACTCCCCAATGAGAGGGTCCTTTGAATGACTGTCTGCTGTGCTTTCAGTCGAATGCACACCGTCTTGAAGATTCAGAATGAAATTAAACCGCCGAAATCTCTCATGCCTGTGTAATTATTTACAAGCAACGAGCTGTTGACAAAGACCATATGGTACTTTTGCAGACCTGATGAATTTATTGAATGTGAAGACCCAGTGGATCATGTCGGAAATGCAACCGCATCCCAGGAACTTGGTTATGGCTGCCTCAAGGTGGGTTTGAGTTTTATTTTATAAGCAAACACTTCCATAGAGAATGCTTGATAGAAAACGTCATCCGATGCTGTTATAGAAAAATGTAAGAGCGATAAAATTACCCTTTTGTAGAATAGTTATAAATTTCCCACATGGCATGAGTCCTGACCAGATGAGCCAGTTTTCTCAGGAAAAACTTGTGCCAGAACTTAAAACACGTGGGTGGGTTCTGTAAAGACAGAAGCCCTGGGGGACTGGCCGTACTCCGGCAGCGAGTGGGTCAGGGGGCACTCTCCCTGGAAGGAGTATCCTTATTGCCCACACTGTTCCTTTGAGGAAGGCTCCAGCAAAAGTAGCTGTGTATCAGCAGAGAATGTTCCACTGTGCTGCGGCTGGCGGAACTCAGTCACACAAAGGGTAAGAGGTCCTGTTCTGAAATTTTTTCCTGGAATTTATTTACTATACACGTACTGTGGAAGTTTATGATTACACACATATTCATGACCTAAATAAAGTCCCAAGACTCTCCTCTGAGTTTCTGCCTAATTAAGCTCATTTATTATATATATAATTAATATAAAACGCCTAATACATAGTGACTTTACTATTCAGTCCCAAAAGCTCAGTAATGTACTCTTTCCACTGTCATGGATAATTAAAGCATTATCATATCTCCTACATCGTATTAAGACACCAGTCATGAGGGGGTTGGGGGATGTATTTAAAACAATCGCTGGGGGCTGGAGAGATAGCACAGCAGGTAGGGCGTTTGCCTTGCATGCAGCCAACATGGCCGATACAGGTTCGATTCCCAGCATCCCATATGGTCCCCCAAGCACCGCCAGGAGTGTCTCCTGAGTGAGCCAGGAGTAACGCCTGAGCATCGCCGGGTGTGACCCAAAAAGCAAAAAAAAAAAAAACAATCGCTGTCACTGTACTCCCGTTGTTCATCGATTTGCTTGAGCGGGCCCAGTAACGTCTCCATTGTGACAATTTTTACTGTGTTTGGCATATCGAGTACGTCACGGGTAGCTTGCCAGGCTTTGCCGTGCGGGCGAGATACTCTCGGTAGCTTGGCGGGCTCTCCGAGAGGGGCGGAGGAACCGAACTCGGGTCGGCCATGTTGGCTGCTTGCAAGGCAAACGCCCTACCCGCTGTGCTATTGAACATTTAAAATTAAAAATTAAATATGTCACTAACTTACTAAGTTCCTAACTCTTGAATACACCTTTATTCCAACTTTGTTAGAAAAATTATTGAGTTGAGTAAAAGAGATAGTACAGCAGGTAAAGCACCTGCCTTATATGTGGCTAACCTAGGTTCAATCCCTGGCACCACATATGGTGCCCCAAGTCTGCCAGGAGTGATCCCCGAGCACAGAGCCAGGAGTAAGCCTTGAGCGCATCTGGGTATGGTCCCCAAAAAAGGTAACTATGGAGTCAGATTTTATTATGATGTATTATTAAGATGTATTTCATGTTACTTGTTTTCGTAAGTTTGGGTTTATCTCTTTTGGCTGTTATTTCACAGTTCGGTGGTCAGGCCTACAGTGATGTAGAACACACATCTGTTCAGTGCCGTGCTTTAGATGGAATTGAGTGTGCCAGTCCCAGAACCTTCCTACGAGAGAATAAACCTTGTATAAAGTAAGTGTTACTTTGAATGGGGTCATTGGTTCTTGATGGAGGCCGTCTCCTGATGTGACTTTTTCTTTCACCTCAGTGTTAATGGGGCAGCATGATTACTATTGTGCGTAATCCATGGGCAGGGGCAATGGAGCTTTAATAGAAAGGACACAGAACTCAGAGCTGAGAACATAAGTTCTAAATGTCACATTCACCGGTTAGCTACGTTCCTTTGGGCACCCAGAGTATCACTTTACAAAATGAAGAAGCTGGACCAGAAATCTCTTCAGAATTCCTGATGGGCCTGGACGATGGCTGGCGCTCATGCTTTATGGGACAGAACCCCGTTCAGTCCCGAGCACCTCGTCCGGAGCACTGGGTGTAGTAGCCCCAAAACATAATGTTCTATTCTACAGTGTCGCCCCAAAACATAACAAAAATTCCTGTAAGTATAAATTCTGTGAAACTAGTTGTAGAATTTTAGAAGTGAAGGCTTTATTATGAAAAGTGTCGGAAATGAGCTATGTTTTTATGTGGGGGCCATATCTGGCGTTGTACTGAACAGGGCCAGCAGCTGGCAGTGCTTCCAGGACACATGCAGCGCTAGGATTTGAACCAGTGCTACAGCCACAGCTGCGTGCTCAGCAGCTGCCTTAACCTTCGTGCTGTGTCTCCAGCCCCTCAAAAATCCTTTCATCTTAAAATTAAATAAATAAGGGATTTGGAAATGTGGCTCATCAATCAAAGTGTCTTCCTCGCAGGCTTGAGGCCTCAAGTTTTGTTTTGGGCACTACCAAGTACATCCCAGTCGCATTCACAACAGTTTGGGGCCCTGGGTGTCACAGCAGATACGACAACCCACCGTGTACGACCTCCAGTCACAAGCAGCAGTGTAAAAGCAGAGTGTGGACAGGGGGAATAAAGAATTAGGGTTATCTCTGTCAATTCTGGCCAAAGGTACAGAATTTATACCATGTGCTAGTGCAGAGTCTGTGACTGGTTAGTAGAGCAGCTGAAGTTGAGCGCATAAGATATAAAAGTTCTTAAGGTAGAAATCCCCATTTTTAATTGCCCCAGAGAACTACAGCTTTAGGAAAGGATGAGGAGAGAGGAGAAGATGGAAAACTCCACTCCTGCTGACCCAGATTCATCCCAGGCACTCCATATGGTCCTCTAATCCTGCCAGGAGTGATCCCTGAGCTCTGCGCTAGGAGTAAGCCCCGAGTACCCCTGGGTGACCACCATGCCAACAGGATGCCCGTTACACAGATGCACTTTGATCACTTTTGTCCAGGCCAGTGTAGTATTTATTTGGGAAGGCGTTCACAATAGCAAATCACTGATATAAAAGGAATATGGTTTGTTTTTTTAAAAAATCAGTGTAAACTAAGCTGTTCAAAACTCCCAATATTGTGTCTGTTTTCTGGCACATATGAGATTATCATTAATTAAGTGGTGATATCCTGAATTGTATTACCTCTGTTAAAAAATGATAACAGAGTGAGCAAACAACTCAGCAGTTTAACATAAACTTAGTTCACCAGGGTTTATAAGAGTTGAATACACCAATTGAATTTGTAACATGTGATAATAATACTGTTAATATGTTCAAGTGCATGGGGCTGGAGCAATAACACAGCGGGTGGGGCGTTTGCCTTGCACGCAGCCAACATGGCCAACCCGAGTTCGATTCCTCCGCCCCTCTCGGAGAGCCCTGCAAGCTACCGAGAGTATCTCGCCCACACGACAAAGCCTGGCAAGCTACCCGTGACATACTCAATATGCCAAACACAGTAACAAGTCTCACAATGGAGACGTTACTGGGCCCACTTGAGCAAATCGATGAACAACGGAAGGACAGTGACAGTGATGTTCAAGTGCATAGGAATGAAACTGTGTAATTTATTTCCTATGACAAAATTTAAATGACTGGACCATTGTTTTGCAGAATGCCAAAGTGTGATGATAGAAAGGGAAGAATTTTCCATGTCTGGTAACTATCCATGGACCTGGGTGCCTGAGACCTACTTTTTTTTAATTCTTTTTCATTGATTCACAGTGAGATACACAATTACTAAGTTGTTCATAAATGAGTTTCAGTCATATAATGTTCCAACACACGTCTCTTCCCCATTGTACATTTCCTTTTCTTTTAGGTCCTTGATATCATAATTGGTACTTTTTAAGACCCAAACCAATGAAAGATTTTTTTTTTCTGAGGTGGAGGCAGTAAAGAGGCCACAAGGGAAATGCTTACAGTCATTAAATGTGTCTAACTGTTTTGCTCTGGGTTTTTGTTTTTGGGCCCCACCTGGCAGCAGTTGGGGGCTACTCCTGACTCTGCTCAGGGATTGCAGCTGGTGGCATTCAGGAGCCCACCGAGTGCTAGGCATCCAACCTCTGGGCCACCTGCATTCAAACCACATCATCCATGTTTGCGTTCTCTCTGTCCTAAAGTTATGATCTTATGTGTTTGAGCATCATCCTTTTTATGTCCTTTTCAGATATACTGGACACTACTTCATAACTACCTTGCTCTACTCTTTCTTCCTGGGATGCTTTGGAGTGGATCGTTTCTGTCTGGGACACACTGGCACAGCAGTAGGGAAACTGTTGACACTTGGAGGACTTGGCATTTGGTGGTTTGTTGACCTAATTTTGCTTATTACTGGAGGGCTGATGCCGAGTGATGGCAGCAATTGGTGTACTGTGTACTGAAAACTGATGTTATGACCCCCAGAGGCAAGTCTTCCGAATTGATCTCTGTAAACTTAAAACTCTTCCTTGATGTCAAGCCTAACCATTGCTTTCCTTCTCTGGAGGGAATAGGTTTGTTAAGAAGGTTTCCTGGAACTTTGGGTGTTAAACTTTATCTGCAGACTAGAAGTGACAAGTGTTTGTAGGAATCAAGTTGCATTCTTTGCTCAAGTACAGCAGATAAAGGATAGTGACTGACTTAATAAGCAGGAGAATTTCCATACTCTACTTCTGTACATTGCAATGTCATCAATTCTTCAGAGCAAGAGGACCCCAGAAGATGAACAAGGTGAATATTTATAGCCTGTGCCTTTTGCGGCCCCAGATCTTCATGCAGGGGAAATCTGAAGCTAAACCAATGAAAAACTTCTGGAGAAATAGGCATATTCGTGAACTTTAATATAGGTGGAAATTCTGACTTCCACAATTTAAATTGAAGAATAAATTTTGCCAACCTGGACTGCTGTTTAGATCATTTCAGAAGATAAAATAAAATTCAGAATTGTATTTGTCTTGCTAAAAACTAGATGTTTGAAATGTTTGAAGTGAACTCCTATATCAATAGTTCCTATTATGATTAAGCTCCAGTGGTAATCTCAGTTCATTCATTTCTTCATTCCAATTATGTTTTTAAAGCCAACAGCATCAAACATGTCTGGGTTGATTTAGGTGAATTATTCCACCTAAAATTTATTATTTGTAAGTTTAGATACCCTATGTCTAAGTTGATAAAAGAGGGTTTCATTTAAGTAACTGTAGAATCGTTTTCACAGTGGGATAATATAAGAAGTCTCTTGTCCGTGGAAAGAAAAATAGTCATTTATTAAAAAATATATTTATTGAGTTCCAGGTAGAGTTAGGATGTTATTTATGGGGGCAAATGAAAATCGAACACATCCTGTCAAAGTAATCATACCAAAAGCCTCACTATGGGCTGTGTCGGTTGGTCACAGGAAGAAAGGTGCGTCTGAGCATTCACACTCCCAAATCACCGGGAATGAAAGGAAATATTCTACAGCATAAATAAGTTATTTTAAAAACTTAGTCTCCATCTTTTGCCATGTATGTTGGAATGAGTACATATCAAGTTAAAGGACGCTTCGTGGGCAAGTTTAAGAACTTGTTAGATAACAGAGTCTAGAAATAATCAAGGCAAAATGCTCAACAATTCATCAAACTGATTTTTATTTGGGGACGCACCCAGAAGTGCTCATGTCCAGAGGTACTGAGCAGTAGGGGGCACTTTTTGGTGCTGGGGATCAAACTCAGGGCTCTTGCGTACAAAGCTTACATCCAGCCCTTCGCACTCTCTTCCCCAGCCCAAGACTCATCACAATTGATTTAAAGACCAACAGTCACATCAGAATAACTCTTGAATATGCCTATCGTTGTTGAACAGCTTCCCTAAGAATTTCAGCTTTATCATCCCTGATTAATATGACTGATTTTATATTAAGAGGTGGTAATTGTGTATAATTAAATATTCTAAAAAAGAAGTTTTTATTTTGTCTTCTGTACCACAGAGTTCTACATACCATATTGACTGTATCCTTATGCATAATTGGTAGACCTTGTAAACAGTACATTCTTATTTATCTTTGCTCAAAAGAAGTATTTTTTTTAAACAGGGAACTCCCTGGGCCATGGAGAGGAGACGGGGGGAGGGAGACCGGCAGTGTTTGGGCTCATGGTGCTCAAAGGCCCCTCAGAACATACTTGCCACCAGGGCTACACCTCGGGTTCTGGGGACCAAACTCAGGGCCTTACACATGCTGGGCATGTGCCTACCATTTGTACTATCTCCACATCCTCTAGAAAGTAGTTTGAAAATTATTGTGGGTCATGAAGAAACTGGACTCTCCCTGGAAAGAAATATACGCATACATAAAATCTCGCAGAGAATTGAAGACGTTTTAAAGTTGCCACATATTTTAAACTTTTTCATTCATTTCTAAGCAAAATCTGAAAAACTGACCATTGGAATTTTAATAGTACTCAAATAGAAGTTACTGCCTTAAACCAGTGCTTCACAACCTTTCTCAGATCATAACCCTAACTTTTAAGCTTGTTTCCTTTATATGACCTCCATGTCTGTCCTGCCAGGTGGTCCTGGTCCCCATGATCTTGTGACATGGGTCCCCAAATCATACAGTTTTTACCTGAGAATCCCATGAACTATCTTGGGAACTCAGTGGGGTTATATGGTCCCTAGCTAAGAAACTGCATTAAGCAACAAACTCTTCCTCGTCTCTTGCTTCTTTTTAAGGCCTCCTTAAGGATATTCACAAGCATCTCAAAATGAGGAAAACCTTTGACAGCTTTCAGACTTTAAATTATCAATAGTGCCAACAGGAATGACACATAAAAAAAAAGATAGAAATCAATGTTATTAGGGCCTAGAGATAGTTCAGTGCCTTGCACTTGACCAACCCTGGTTCAGTCCCTGAAATTCCATATGGCCACGTGAGCACTGCCAGGAGAGGTTACTGAGTGCAGAGCCCAGAGTAACCCCCGAGCATTGCCACATATGGCCCATAAACAAAAGGCCAAAGTTATCAAAATACCTATTTTATATGAAAAACATCATCATAGAAGAGCTGTTTGAGACTACGTTCCTCTCCAGAGTACTAACCAGAAAATTTTTTAAATTTCTCTTTGGCAATCCACATTTGTCAGTTTTACTTCAACTTCTAAATTAAATCTATTCTCTATGCATAAAAATTCTGGCCAAATGAAATTCCGCCTGAAAGCCTAATTGAGCAAAGTAGAATTTTTTTTTAAGTTTCTTTTAATCTCTGGATTCAGGTTTCTTATTATTTAGTAGATAGATACATTCGTATGTATATTTACATTTTATCTTAGTTTGTAGCTATACAGATATTTTAAAATAATAAAATGGTCTTCTCTCAGGGTTAAATTAGAAACTCTACCTGGTGTGGCTGAGCAGAGAGAACATGTCTGAAAAGTGTGATGTCCTGGTTTTGACTGATCTCCAGCACCAAAAAAAAAAACCAAAAACAAAAAACAGAGGCAGAGATAGTACAGCAGATAAGGCACTTGCCTTCCATGTGGCAGACCCAAATTTGACCCTCACACTCAGTACGGTCTCCTGAGCCCATCAGTGCAGAGCCAGAAGTAAGCCCTGAGCACCACTGAATGTGGCCCCAAAACCAGACAACAAACACAACTTTAGTAGCTCACAGACTCTGGCACCAGGGGCTCTCACTTGCTTCCGTTGCAACACCCCTGACCTAATGATCCCTAAAGATGTGTGTTTTATAGCATTCATTTTTCGCTTTTTAAGAAAGAAATCGCAAAACCCTTATCTTTGGCATATCTTCAATACACACCAGGTAATATAGCTTTGGTTTCTCTTTAAAGCAAGATACTTAATCGATTATCTCCGGTGCAACTGTCAGGATCAAAGTTAGACTTCCTCGACGAACCACAATGGAAAGGAAGTCATTGTTCTTAACAGCTTCTGTAACATCAGTTGTTGTGGTGACAGGTTGCCCGTTTATGCTGACTATTACATCATGGTCTCTCAACCCAGAGCTGGGAGGGAAGGAAAAAGGACCATGAGACTAAAAATTTACTCATCTTCATCTATAATTAAATATCTCTTACAGCTTTACTGTTGCTAGCATTAAACATACAAACCAGGAAATCAGAAATAGCCTCAACCCTTCCAAATAAAGAACTGTTAAATCACCAAGAGGATAACACTCTTTTATCTATATAAAATTATTGGTCCATCATTCTATCAGATTTATATATGAGGGGGGAAAAAACATATATATAGTTTCAGAATTGAGTTTACCTTTTCATTTTTAATAACTTCTAGTCTTTATAAGCCTCAAAGGCACTTCTTTCTTATTTTGTTGTTGTTGTTGTTTGTTTAGGAGGTTGTTTTAATTCCATGCTCAGCAGTGCTCAGGGTTTACTGCAGGCAATGCTCTGCACCATATGTGGTGCCAGAGATTAAACCCCGGGTCAACTGCATACAAAGCAAGCACCTTACATGCTGTAGTATCTCTCTGACTCTCCTAATCTCAACAGCAAATTTGAAAAGTTTGAGTAGGAATGCTTTCCCCACTTAAACTAACATCAACTTAATATTGCTAGCCCACTTACTTGACCTTCACCCAACTTATAGAACTGGAAAGCATGTTGTGTTACACAATAGTATGCCTGATTCCATGAAATCAAAGACAATCACCTTTCAAAGTCTGAATATTTAAAGTTCTGGGGACTGGGCAGATAGTACAGTAGGTAAGGTTTGCACACAGCCAGCCTAAGTTTGTGCCACATATGGTCGCTCATGCCTGTCAGGAGTGATCCCTGAGAACCACTATATAAGGCCCCAAAACAAAAGCCAAACAAAAAATATTTAAAGTTCTGATTCTGTCTGTGTTGGCAGACACATATGGTGTAAAAGGAACTCTCAGCCACCACAGGTGGGAATGTCTGGTTCAACCCCTGTGAAAAATAGTATAAAGGGTTCTCAATGAACTTAAATTGCGCCTCCATATATGAAAAAAATGCTCATCATCACTTATTATTAGGGAAATCCAAGTCAAGATGACAGTGAGATACCATCTTATACCCGTGATAATGGCACACATTAGAAATACTGGCGACAATATATTTTGTAGGGATGTAGTGAAAAGGAACCCTCATCCACTGCTGGTGGGAATGTTGTCTGGCCCAACCCCTAAGGAAAACAGTATGGAGAGTTTGAAAATTGAGCTTCCATATGACCCAGCAATTCCACTTTCGGGTATCCATCTCCAAGACAGAAAAAGTCATTCAGAAGAATGTTTGGACATCATTATTCATTGCAGCACTCAACTAAGATTTGGAATCAACCTTGATGTCCAATAATAGACGAGTGAATCATGAAGATGTGGCACATACACACACACACACCAACACAACACAACACACACATACAGAAATACCATCCATCTGTAAGGAATGATGAAGTCAAGCAATTTGCAATAATAAGGATGGAACTGTCAAACGTAAATCATGTTAAATGAAGAAAGCCAGAAGGATAAACACAGGGTGATATCACTTATATGTGGTATAACTGGATGAGAGAATGCAATGGTTTAAAGGGGAGTGAGGGAATGCCCAAATCACCCATGGCCCAAGAGTATAGAAAAAAATAGAGCGGAGAGGTATAGGAGGAAAAAACAAGTGAGAAGCAATGGGAGGCAGGTTGAGGAGATTCAGGTACATCTGTGGTGTTAAAGAATGATAGAGTCAAATATCGAGACCAGACGGTCAACACTGAAATCCTGAGACCCAAATTTGAACAACCAGACTTAAAAAGGTGCCTGTCAAGATGGCAGACTGGGGATGTGAGGTAGGGGAAACTGGGGATACTGGTGGAGGGATCAGTGATGGAGCAGATGGCACCACAGCACTGGAGATCTCTCTGGGCTCCATACCAAGCCAATTTCATCAAGGCACCCCAGGTGGAGCAGGTGCAGTCTCCCTGCCCACTCCAGATGGAAACCCGGTGTCTGACAACTCCCACAAGCAAGGCCCAGGTATGCGGGTACCAGGACTAAATCTCCAGGCAGCATGGCGGCAATGGCGCCAGGCTTTCCCTCTCCAGCTCTCCACCTGCTCAGCGGCCTAGCTGTCATGCCCACAAGCTTCTGCCAGGGGCCATAATGGCGCACCAACAGCCCTGGTCCAGAGACTCCCAGTTGAATCCCAAAATGGATTGGTGCCCTACAGAGATGTCTCTGGAACCCAACTATTTACAATCTAGAATCCCAGAAGCATGTGGCCACTTTGTGGCCACGCGAACTCTCATGATATTCAAAATGAGTAATGGAAAATAAATTATCTAACATCTGCCCTGCCAGGTAGGCTTGAATGGTGGTGGAAAAATTTAGGCAAAAATAATACCCCAAAGTAGAGAATATTGGGGAAATTGTCTGCCATAGAGGCAGGATGAAGACTGCGATGGGGTGGGGGTGGGGGGGGGAGTGGATACTGGAGACATCTGGAGACATTGGTGGTGGAAAATGTGCACTAGTGTAGCAATGGGTGTTCAATCATTGTATGGCTGAATCTCAAACATGAAAGCTTCGTAACTATCTCACAGTTATTCAATAAGATAATAACAATAAATAAAAGAAGACACACTTTAAGGGAAATGGGAAGCCCAAGAAAGAATGATAATGTGGGAGAATCATCAAGATATGTGATAATGTATTTGAAAATTATGAAAATGGAGTCAAGCCCAAGAACTGCCTCTGGGGTCATATGAGCTCATTAACTGGCCATGATCCAGAGACTCATAAATGAATCTTAAAAGAAAGAGATGAGCATGCTGTCGAGATACCTCCAGACCCCACACCAGGCTGAGCCTTATATCCTGGGCACGCCAGAAGGGAGGGGGTAAGCCCTCCACCTGCCCAAACTGAGCCCCCACAGTCAAAAACCTCCAGAACCGAATCGCTGCCATGCTCATGACCAAACTCCACAGGCTCAGGTGAGCCTCATCTAGTAATGAATCTGTTGGAAAACTCAGGTATGTGGATTTTGTGACACCTTTGGGAGCCTGGCAGTCATGCCCATTAACTACCTCTGGTGCCATATAAGCTCATTAACTGGCCATGATCCAGAGACTCAAAAAGAAATCTCAAAAGAGATCAGCAAGCTGCAGAGATGCTTCTGGACTCCTAAGTCACCAGTTAAAAATTTAACTCCAGCTATATCACTTTATTCAAAATTTTAGAATCCCTGGAGCATACGGTATGTCAAACTACACCACTGATATATCAGGAGTAACACAAGGCTTACCCTGTAACAATATGTTAGTAATCTCTTCTACCAGGGCTTAATGGCTCAAGACTGAGATACAACAATCTTCACACACTTTCTTCTAAGGAAATCTTTTTTGATCATTTTTAGCAAATTAATCATATAAGCAATACAAATTAAATCATTTAGGTTCTGCTACTAGGACAAGTTTGGGCAGTGGTCGAGAAAATTGGAAATAGTGGTGGTAGGAATATGTATTAGTTGTGGGTTTGGTGTTGCAATATTGAATGGAATAAGTCATCATGAACAACTGAATAAAAATAAAATTGTTTTAAAATTATGAAAAGGGAGAAAAACTAGAAGAAATATAAAGCAAGGGGGATGTGGAAAATAACTTTGAGGGTTGAACTAAACATAAGGAAAGCCTCTGTTTTTCAAACTCATACTTCTTTGTTTTTAATCACTTTGAATTACGGAGTTATTCATGACTGAGTTTCAGGTATGCAATATTCCAACACCCGTCCCTTCACCAGTGTCTTCTTTCCTCTGCCGATGTCCCCAGTTTCCCTCCTGCCCCCAGCCTGTCTCTAGGGGTGACACTTTTTCTCTTATCCTTTCAGACTTTGCAATATTGTTACTGATGATCATGCATGGCCCCCTGGCACCGTGTAATCCCATCAACGGCCAAGACTCAGAGACTATAAAACCCAACTCCCAGAAGCGCACGGCCGCATTCAGGGCCGCACGACATCTTATCATCTCATTCCTACTTTGGACAAACTGGCAGGCTAGCGAATGTAACCTGCCCACACGGCAGAGTCTGGCAAACTCCCCGTTGTGTATCCAATATGCCAAATACCAGTAACAATGATGGTTCTCATTCTCCTAACTCTGAAAATGCCTTGAATATGGCACTTTTTAAAAAATCTCAGGGCTAGGATGAAGGAGACGTTACTGGGGCCTGCTCGAGGCAATCGACGAATAACAGGATGGTTGTGATTGATTGTGATTGATTGTGATCATGCATATCACTTTACCCCTCTTTAGCACCCAGTCCTTGTCCAGAGTGACCACTTCCCTCCCATCATATTCATCGTGGCCCCTTCTCTGGCTTATTCCCCCGTCTCCTCACAGTGGCAAGATTCCTCCTAAGGACCATCCTGCTCTTTCTTCCTATTGCCTTGAACATTATTTTTCCTCCTCTGTTACTTTATATCCTGCATATGAGTCAGAGCATTCTGTGTCTGAGGGAAAGCCTTTAGCACCAGGACAGCTCAGGAGAATGACTGAGACTCTACAAAAGAACTTAATTCACAGTATTTCTGGGAGAAGAAAAGAGAAAGAAATCTGCAAGTTATTACTACATACAAATGCACTAAATATGATGAAGTGAGACTCAGACAAGATAAAGGACCTTTTCCAAGTCCCACAACTTGTAAGAGGCTAAAATGCAATTTGATCCTGAATCTTTCAGACTTGAAAACTCATCATCTCACAACTCAATTGTACTGCCTCTCAGAGTAAAGATAGCAACCATACAAGCAGAATAATGCAGGGCTTAAGTGAAGTTTCATACCTACTCTCTGTCTTACAGTAAAACTCAGGTTAATTGACCTCTACCAGAGCTGCAAGTTCAGTAAAACTATATCTATATCAAAAGACAACTGGGGCTTAAATAAGTATGTAAAACACAATGGTGCCAAGCATAATGTGTTAGCTGTTATTACAGTCATTATAATTAGATATAAGTGGATAAAATCAGAGAGAGAGAGAGAGAGAGAGAGAGAGAGCCAGAGCAATACTGCAGTAGGTAGGGCACATGCCTTGCACATGGCTGACCCAGGTTTGATCCTCAGCACCCCATTTGGCCCCCCCCAAGCCCACCAAGAGTGATCTCTGTGATTGCAGAGCCAGAAGTAAGTCCTGAGCATAGCAAGGCGTGGCCCCAAAACAAAAAATTAAAATTCCAATTCATCAATCACTTCTAACAAGCAGTAAATTCCACATTTTATTGTGTATACAAATGACCAAGAAACACAGCACCAGGGTTTACCATACTGCATTTCTTAGATGCTCCAGTTGAGGACCTGAGGGATAGCTCAGTGGCAAAGTACCTGCCTCGCACATGTGAAGCCTTGAGTACACCAACTAGTGCTGTCACTGTGTCAGGCGTGGCTGGGCACCGCTAACATTTGGGATTCCTGGCTTTCGGAAAACAGTGTGATCTTAGGTATGTGATGCGACTTGGTGTGTGCAAACACCGTGATTAAAGTGTGCAGCCCCTGACTAGCACTACAACAACAGTGCAAATGTGGCAGCGACTGCTTGCACGCCCCAAAAGCAGGTGTGTCAGAACCACAGTTAGATCCGGTGAGCATGAGGACCAGGATTACTGAGCTCTTGCAACCCCTAAGTACTGTACCTAGGTTTGCTAGCACTGTAGTCAGATGTGTGAATGCCACAACCAAAGATGTGTCTGACCTTATAACAAAAAGAAAATGGAAAAAACATCTTAAAATATGTCAACTGGAGCTGGAGCAATAACACAGCGGGTAGGGCACTTGCCTTGCACATGGCCAACCCGGGTTCGATTCCCAGCATCCCATATAGTCCCCTGAGCACTGCCAGGGGTAATTCTTGAGCACAGAGCCAGGAGTAACCCCTGTGCATTGCTGGGTGTGACCCAAAAAGAAAAAAATAAATAAATTAAAAATATGTCAACTTTTTTTTTAAGACAAATTTCAACTTTGTCTGGTTTTGTTTTTGTTTTGGGTCATACCTGGTGGTGCCTAGGGCTTCTGCCTCTCTCTAGGATCACTCCTGACTGGGCTCATGGGACCAGACGGGGTGCCAGGGATTGAACTCTGATAGGCCTTGCATAAGGCAAGTGCCCTACCGAGTGTAATATTTCTTTGGCTCACCAAAATTAAATTTGAATTTAAAAAATTACACTGGTGTTAATTCTGCTGGTCTACAGCATACTTTTTGAGCAGCAAGGGTTTGGAGAGCTGAAAAAAATAGCTTTGGTCTTGAGCCAAAAGTTAAAAATAAGGAAGGGGGGAGGAGAAAGGAGCCAAGAAAGTCTGGAAAACTCTGTGACAAATCAAAATTAGTAACAAGACCTAACACTTATCTATTCTGAACACTGAGTACCTATGGTTTCTACCCCCTACTAAAAGAAGTTGCCATAATCTAAAAGTTGCTGATTACTGAGCCCTGAGAAACAATGGGAGGAATGTTGAAATATGAGAAAGACTCAAGAAAATAACTGTAGGACAAGTTGCCTCTCCTCAGTAATGAGTATAGATATTTTAAAAACAAGAGTGTTATCAATTGGGGAATTATTTTTGGAGAGGTACTCGGGCCTTTGCTCTATTTTTAGTCTTACTATTTCCCTCTGGTATTACCATCCAGAGTTCACAGAGAAAAGTGTTTTAAAATACCTAAAATATTTACTTAAACTTTTTGTTTGATTTGGGCAACACTCAGCTCTGCTCAGGGCTTACTCCCGGCTCTGCACTCAGGGATCACTCCTGGTTGTACAAGGGACGCACAGGATTGAGTCCAGTTCAGCAGTGCATAGGCAAACACCTTACCTGCCATCTGTCTCTCCAGCCCTTAGGTAATTTTTGTACTCTCAGTTGAGTTTGTGTTCTTTCTCCCACTAGAAAGAACACAAACTCAATGTGCTAGAATAGCAGATTAAAATTTTACATAATGCAAAGACAGTGAAAAGTAATTCTCCCAAAACACAAAAGGACTATTTTATGAATAAATATTTATATTGCTTCTGGTTTTATTTATTTTATTTTGTCTTATATAATTATTTTAAATTATTTATATAACAGGGATTTGTATAAGTATTTTATAATACTGTATTTATTATATTTTATATCTTTTTAATGTGTTATATAAAACATTTATCATAAACATAACAAATTAATAAAATGTTCCAACATCACAGCAGTAACATCTGAATTGTTCAAGACACTCTCTTAAGCCTGCCGATTGAGATCTTCCCCATGATCACTGTAGCACACATTTAGTGAGAAAAAAAAATAAAGGCTAGAACATCTCTTACCTTTCAGCAGCTGTTCCTTCGATTACTTCATATACAAAAACCCCAGAACTCACATCAGGGAAATTTGGATCTTGCCTTTTCATGTCTTGAAGAAGGCTAAGAAAAGTGAGAAGAGTTAAACATTAAACCATTCAATTGTTTAAAATTACGTACACACACATACAGAAAGAGAGAGAGAGAGAGAGCCAAAACAGAATTTCCTGTGCTAAGCCCAGCAAGACACAACATCTAAGTTAATTGTAGTAACAATCTTCCGCCAGGATTGATTCAGTAGAATCCCCTAGTCAGCACCAATGAGGTCATCTGCCATGTGATTCTCTGTCCACCCTACATAGGTTACAGAAAGCTGAAAAGAATACATTTTTTTCAGAGACCCTACTGAATGACAGAAAATATTTGGACACAACATATCAAATAGTTGATATCCAAGATTTATAAAGCACTCACAAAACTCTGTAGCACTGTAGCACTGTCCTCCCATTGTTTATCGATTTGCTCAAGAGGGCACCAGTAACATCTCCACTGTGGGACCTATTGTTACTGTTTTTGGCATACCGAATATGCCACAGGGAGTTTGCCAGGCTCTACTGTGCGGGCGCGATACTCTTGGTAGCTTGCCGGGCTCACAGAGAGGGTTGGAGGAATCGAACCCGGGTCAGCTGCATGCAAGGCAAATGCCCTACCAGCTGTGCTATCGCTCCAGCTCTCACTCACAAAACTCAACAAGAAAAAATTCAATGACCACCCATCCATAAATGAGGAAAGGAAATGAACAGGCGCTGTCCCAAAGAAGACACATGGATGGCCAACAGGCATATGAAAAAGCGCTCATCATCACTCATGATTAGGGAATGCAAGTATGACAGTGAGATGTCATCTTCACCAGTGAGAATGGCACAGAACCAAAAGCTTAGAAACAACAGTGAGATTGCGGTGAGAAAGGCACCTCATCCACTGTTGATGGGAATGCTATCTGGTTCAGCCTTCTGGAGATCTAGCCAAAATATCAAAATAGAACTACTACTTCCTGGCATCCACAAAACACAAAGTCATTAATTTAAAGTGACATATGCACACCCATGTCCATTGGCTTACTCAGTACAATAGCCAAGATATGGAAACAACCCAAATGCCAACCACAGATGAATGGACCAAGAAGTTGTGATATATATACACAATGGAATACTATGCAACTCTAAAAAAGAACAAAAGCATGCAATTTATAGCAATATGGGGGTGGGGGGGACTAGAGGACATCAACCTAAGTGAAGTCAGAAGGAAATGGATAGATACAGAGTGATCTCTTATATGTGGGACTTAAAGGTCCACAACAGAGGTCCAGAGACAACATAATGAGAGAACTGACCCACACAACTGAACAGGGGGGTGCTTCAGGAAAGACAGCTCCTGGGAGAGGCGGGGGTGCACTGATGATGGGTGTGGTATTGGAATTTTGTGCATAAAAAACCATTATTAATAGCATTGTAAATCACAGCATCTCAATTTAAGAAAAGAAATTTTAAAAATTATAAAACAAAAAATATACTTTTTAAAAACTTCCTTCCCCTGCCTTTAAAATACTACTTTTTATGAGATCCTGGAAGTTCCTTTCTATCTACATAAAATGCTGCTGGATTCATGAATCATTTGATAAAGCAAATCAGTTCTTTGAACTTTCTTGACTAGGTTTTTATTATTCAGTATGACTAACAAGAAAAAGCATTAATCTTCTGAAGCCTGATCAAAGCCTACAATTAGAGCAGATATTCTCTGACTGCTTAAAATCTGTCAAGGGCTAATGAAAATCCCATTGAGTCTGTCACAGGTTTTCTTTCCTAAGGGTGGTCTTCATTTCTAATCCAAAACCTAAAACCACTAAACATTTTTAGTACAGTTACAGTGGAATTAACTAAAATGTCAATTGAACAACTCCAAGGTTAGGAGTACTAACTTTCTCTCCCCACTCCTATGCAGTTAAAAGTCCCACTTGTAAACGAAAGAGAGAAAAAGCATGAAAGATAGTCAAAAAAAAAACCTTATAACTTTTGACATCCCGAAAGCCTTCACTAGTAACAGAAACCTTATTTAACAGTTGATTAGCATGTATTTTGTATATTATACGTATCAAATATTGTACTGTTATAACAAAGCTAGATAAAATGTATTATAAAGAAAATCATAAGTAAAATAAAGTGCATTTATAGTACTGCATTGTATTTATCACTACCATAAGTCTATATCATCTGCCTATAGGAAAATCCATATAAATGGACCTATGTAGTTCAAGCTGTGTTCTTTCAAGGGCTTGCGGCTATACTATAGTGAAAACTATAGTACTGCACTGTTGTTCATCAATTTTGCTGGAGCGGGCATTGGTAACATCTCTATTGTGAAACTTGTTACTGTTTTTGGCGTACTGAATACGTCACTGGTAGCTTGACAGGATCTGCCTTGCGGGCGGGATACTCTTGGTAGCTTTCCGGGCTCTCCGAGAGGGGCAGAGGAATCGAACCCAGGTCGGCTGCGCGCAACGCAAATCCCCTACCAGCTATGCTATTGCTCCTTCCACAGTGAAAACTAGTGAAACAAACGATCATGAATGATGGTACAAGCAGAGACAGATCCCCTGGTGGGGACTCTGGTACAAGTTAGAGTAACCCCTCTAGGGATGAGTGAGACAGCACAGGAGGTAAGGCAATTGCCTTGTTTTCTGCTGACACCGTTCAATTTCCAGAACAAAAGCCCAGGGTCACTCCTGAGCACAGAGCCATGTATCACCTCTCAGACCTGAATGTAGCCCAGCTCGGCCTCACAATTATACAATTATAATAATCTTTTTAAATTATATATAATTTTAAAAATCCCAGTGCTTCTGAAAAGCAACCCAGTCTTATTCAGAAACATACTTACTTAATAGTGAGAGGCAGCATCCGCAGACCCAGATATTTTCTCTGTGAAAGAGTCTTTCCTGGAAATAAAATTTATACTGTGTTACTCACAACAAAGTGTCTTTTTACAGGTTTAAAAGACACTCGAGTCACAGAGTATCTGACTATTATAGCTGCCTTTTCAGCGTCTGAAAGGAATTTCAAGCAACCTTTATCATCCGCATAGACTTTCCCACCTACTTCCAGCCACAGGGTTCCTTTCCATAAGAGTCAACCCAGAACTTTCTAGGTGCATCACATGCCTGCTTTTGTACCTTGCCCCCCAACATCAACACCCAAGCCATTATGATAGGAGTGTGGTACCAGTGACTCAGTGTTCTATAGAATTCGAATGACTGTCTTTACAACAAATTAAATATTCCTGAAAAACACGAGGAAAGGAAAAAACCCTAACTCTCCTTACCTTTTATCTGGCGCTCATGGTATTCTGCCAGGAACTGTCTAATTCTATCAGAAGGAATTGCAAAGGAGATTCCTGCAGTCACCTTCAGTGTGTTTATGCCAATCACATCACCATCCTGGCCAGGGAGGAGAGAAGTCACCAAGTAGCAAACATAGAACAAGTGGAGAAAGGAGGAAAGCTGGTCGCTTTGGATCAGAATACAGAGAGACGAGAAGAAATGAGGACTTCACTAGAGAGTAGTGGGTGTGACCATTAGAGCAGCTCATGTAGTTGGATAGCCAAGACTGAGTAAAAATTTCTACTGAGGATTTTTAAATCTTAAGGCTAATTTGATGTTGTTGCTATTTTATTTGGGGGCCATACCGAGTGGTTTTCCAGGGCTACTCCTCGTCTGTGTGGAGGTCTCACCCCATAGTACTCTGAGGACCAGGTAGTGCCAGGAATTGAACCACTCCCTTGCACATATAAAACATGCACTCACCCCATTGAGTTATGGAGAATTGGGGGTGTTAGTTTTATTTTTTTACCACACTTAGCAGTTTTCATGTTTGGAGGCTACTCTCAACTCTGTACTCAGGGGTCACTCCTGCTGGTGCTTTGAGGACCATGCAGTACTTCTGTGTGAACCTAATTTTTAACTCACTGTCAAAACACTGTCCTCCCGTTGTTCATCGATTTCCTCGAGCGGGCCCGGTAAGTCTCCATTTTGAGGCTTGTTGTTACTGTGTTTGGCATATTGAATGAGTCACGGGTAGCTTGCCAGGCTTTGCTGTGCGGGAGAGATACTCTCGGCAGCTTGCCGGGCTCTCCGAGAGGGGTGGAGGAATTGAACCCTGTGCGGCCGAGCTGTCTGCATGCAAGGCAAACGCCCTACCGCTGTGCTATTTATTTTAAAAAAAAAAAAAAAAAAAAGAACCATGGAACCAAAGAGATAATTCAGTGAATTGGAGTGCAGGCAGGAGGCTGAGTCAAGGTCCACAGTGTATGATACCCAGAGTAGTGCTTGTATTTTCACACACAATAAAAAGCACAGGAGGAAATTTCGTTGCATTTCTTACTTGACATTAAAACATAGGAAAGGCAAAACTTTCAACAATAAAACTATTGAGAATAATTAGCAAATTGACCTTAGGGAACTAACTTCTACACTATCAGCTAAAGATAGGTGTGGATCACTAGCGAATTTTTTCAAACATTTAAAGAGGACCTATTGCCAGTTCTTCTCAAGCTTTTCCAGGAAATTGAAAAAACAGAAACTCTCCAAACAGTTTCTATGAAGCCAATATCTCTCTAATACCAAAAGGAAACAAAGACACCACAAGAAAAGAAAACTACAGACCAATATCCCTGATGAACACGGATGCAAAGATTCTCAACAAAATACTAGCAAATAGAATTCAACTACTCATCAAAAAGATCATACACCATGACCAAGTGGGATTCATCCCGGGGATGCAAGAATGGTTCAACATTTGGAAATCAATCAACATAATCCATCATATCAATAAAAGAAAAGATAAAAATCATACGATCATATCAATAGATGCAGAGAAAGCATTTGACAAGATCCAGCACCCATTTATGATAAAAACCCTCACCAAAATGAGGATAGAGGGGACTTTTCTCAATATAGTTAAAACCATCTACCACAAACCTACAGCAAACATCATCCTCAATGGGGAAAAACTGAGAGCCTTCCCCCTAAGATCAGGGACGAGACAAGGATGCCCACTCTCTCCACTACTGTTCAATATAGTACTGGAAGTACTTGCAATAGCGATTAGGCAAGAAAAAGATATTAAGGGCCTCCAGGTAGGGAAGGAAGAAATCAAACTCTCACTATTTGCAGATGATATGATACTATACTTAGAGAACCCTAAAACCTCTACCAAGAAACTCCTAGAAACAATAGACTTGTTTAGTAAAGTGGCAGGCTATAAAATCAATACCCAAAAATCCATGGCTTTCCTATATGCAAATAGTGAAAGAGAAGAAAGTGACATGAAGAAAACAATCCCAATCACAATTGTGCCCCCAGAAAATAAAGTACCTAGGAATCAGCTTAACTAAGGAAGTAAAGGACCTGTACAAAGAAAACTTCAAAACACTACTTCAGGAAATAAAAGAGGTCACAAGGAAATGGAAAAATATCCCCTGCTCATTGATGCAGAGAATTAACATTGTCAAAATGGCAATACTTCCCAAAGCACTGTCAAATTCAACGAGATCCCTATTAGGATACCCATGACATTCTTCAAAGAAATGGAGCAAACACTCCTGAAATTTGTATGGAACAATAAGCCCCCACGAATAGCTAAAGCAATTCTTGGGAAAAAGAAAATGGGAGGAATCAACCTCCCTAACTTCAAGCTCTACTACAAAGCAGTAATAATTAAAACAGCATAGTCCTGGAGCAAAGGCAGAGCTGTAGACCAATGGAACAGAGTTGAATATACTGACATCTCCCCCCAAGCATATGATCATCTAATCTTCGATAAGGGGGCAAGAAAAGTGAAGTGGAGCAGGAAAAGCCTTTGTGCTGGCAAAACTGGACAGCTATATGCAAAAAAGTGGGCTCAGATCTCTGCCTAACGCCATGTACAAAAGTAAGATCAAAATGGATTGAAGACCTCAACATCAGACCGGAATCCATAAAGTTCATTGAAGACAAAGTTGGCAAAACCCTCCATGATATTGAAGCTAATGGTATCTTCAAAGATGTCATGCCACTGGCCAAGCAAGTGAGAACAGAGATAGACAAATGGAACTATCTTAAACTAAGAAGCTTCTGCACCTCAAAAGAAACAGTGACCAAAATACAAAGACATTCTACAGAATGGGAAAGGATATTCGCTGAATACACATCCAACAAGGGGTTGATATCAAGGATATACAAGGTACTGGTTGAACTCCACAAGAAGAAAACACCCAACCCCTATCAAAAAATGGGGCAAGGAAATGAACAGAAACTTTCGCAAAGAAGAAATGCGAATGGCTAAAAGGCACATGAGAAAATGCTCTACATCATTAATCATCACGGAGATGCAGATCAAAACAACTATGAGATATCATTTCACACCACAGAGACTGGCCCACATCCAAAAGAACAAAAGCAACTGGTGCTGGCGCGGATGTGGCGAGAAAGGGACCCTCCTTCACTGCTGGTGGGAATGCCGACTGGTTCAACCCTTTTGGAAAACAGTATGGATGATTCTCAAAAAATTAAAATTTGAGCTACCATTTGACCCAGCAATACCACTCCTGGGAATATATCCCAGAGAGGCAAAAAAGTATAGTTGAAGTGACATCTGCACTTGTTTGTTCATTGCAGCTCTCATTACAATAGCCAGAATCTGGAAAAACATGACTGGTTAAAGAAACTTTGGTACATTTACACAATGGAGTACTATGTAGCTGTTAGAAAAGATGAAGTCATGAAATTTACATACAAGTGGTACTACATGGAAAGTATCATGTTAAGCGAAATGACTCAGAAAGAACGGGATAGACACAGAAAGATTTCATTCATCTGGGGAACATAAAGTAACATAATGGGAGACTAACACCCAGGAGTGGCCGAGATTAGTACCAGGAATTTTGCTCCATGACTTGGAAGCCAGCCACACTTGCTAGGGGAAAAGGAAGCTCAGATAGAGAAGGGAGCACCAAATAAAGGGTGCTGGGAGGATCCTCCCAGGGTGGGAGAAGCATGCTGAAAGTAGACTACAGACCAAACATGATTGCCACTCAATACCTCTCTTGCAAACCACAGAACCCAAAAGGAGAGAGAGAGAGAGAACAAAAAGGAGTGCCCTGCCACAGAGGCAGGGTGGGATGCAGGGGATGAGGGGTGGGAGGGATGCTGGAACCCATGGTGGTGGAGGATGGGCGCTGGTGGAGGGATGGGTACTTGATCATTGTATAACTGAAACCCAAGCACACAAATTTGTAAGTCTATAACTGTACCTCGTGGTGTTTCACTAATAACAATAAATAAATAATAAAAATTTTTTTAAAAAGATAGGTGTGGAAAATGCTTTCCTCTCTCTGCACATCATCATTTATTGGCCTTTGTTAAGTAATGAAAAATAACGGTCTGAAGGAATGAGCATGCTTCAAAGCAGTGCTTGGTAACTCTTGTCTGCTATTTTCAGCTTTGCGAGTCATCTGTCGGCCTGATGGAATTTATAAAGTCTTTGAAGATCAGGAAGATAAAAGAAGCAGCAAAGAAAGGGGTCACTTACCAGGTTCACCAGAGGCCCCCCAGAATTCCCGTGCTGGAGACAGAATTTGAAGAAGAAAAAAGAAACCATGTCAGTACTTTTTCTTCTCGTCATTTGTAAATAATTTCTAAAAGACTAAAAGCCACTTGCTCTACTGAGCCCCTATTTCCCTACGGCATGACAAGTTGCAGCCCACCATTGTCCCTAACACTGACGTTAGTGCAGGAAACAGAACAGCAAAGGACTCCACCCTTCTGCAGCACTAAGCACAGCAATCCCCTGCCAATGATATGGTACCAATGTCACACCAAACGGGTGGAAATCCAACAGTGTAGCTTTCCATCTCCCTTTTGAGGTTCCAGCTGAACCTCCCCAAAAGGCCAAATGGAAAAGAAGGCACTCTCAAATATTCTGACTCGGGGGCAGGGGGGAGCTGATGATGACCCTTCAGGGAGTCTTACATTAATGATGGCATCGGTCTGAATATAGTCCATGTCCGAATCCTTCAGCCCCAGCTCTCTGCCTCCGCGCTGTGTAGTGCTGACAATCCCTGCAGTCACCGTGTTCTGCAGAGAAAACGGGCTGCCCAAGGCCACCACAAACTCTCCAGCCCGCAGGTCAGATGAGCTGCCTAGCAGCAGTACAGGAAGTTCAGCCTGCACATGGGCAAGGAGGGATGGATTGGGCAGAAGAGGTGAAGAACAATTTCAGGGTCAAATCAATCAGCACTCATCTATAACACGTCCATGACATACTTTCTGTTATTCTGGCACGTGTGATTCAGAAAACACAGACTGTATGACTTCCTTATGTTTCTCAAATTCCAACTACCAGCAGACTTGTTAAGATGGTCAGGATCCTCCCTAAAATCTAAGATTTCTTTGTGGATGTTGCTTTTAAATATGCCAAGAGTGAAGTCACTGACGAACATGAGCGATTCAACTCAGCACTCTTCCAACTCAAAGGTTCACAGAGTCAGTAAGACACTAATAGACAGGCGCTCATCCCGACCAGTGCTTCTCAGGCATTAACGGAACACAAGTCACCTAGGCAAGTGAAAAGATTTTGATATAGGTGATCTGGGTAGGGCCTGAGATTCTGAGTTCCTAAAAATAGATGATGTTGATGATGCTGGTACACAGATAACATTTTGTGTGCAAGATGCTCATTATTATTATTATTATTATTATTACTATTATTATTATTATTTACCAAATCACCACAAGATAGAAACTGTTCATGATTGGGTTTCAGGCATACAATATTCCAACACTCAAAGTACTCAGTAGCTTTAGTCCACTGAAATTAACCCTGACATAAGTAGAGAAATAAGTTTCCTTGAAGAAGGAGATAAGGAACATTGGAAGCCTGCCTCAAGGGCTGGGAAAGAGGGCAATTGGTATGGAGAAGGACACATTATGACAGTAATGGTTGGAAGGGATCGCTCAGGATGGGAGATATGTGCAGAAAGTGGGAGTGGCAGGAGGGATACAGGGACTTGGTGGGGGGGAAACACAGGTGAAGGGATAGGTGCCGGAACATTGTATGACTGATACCCAATCATTAAAGCTTTGTAACTGCATCTCACTGTGATTCAGTGTAAAAAAAAAAGGAGGAGGAGGAGGTAAAGAGGAAAAGTAAATCCTGCAGGACAGTTCATAAAATTGTTGGGGATGAACAGTTAGATGTAAGGGGAAAAGTAGGAATGAAGAGCAGAAAGAAAGGTAAGTAAAAAAAAGAGTATATAACAGGTAGAGCAGATGTAATGTGGTAATGGGATAGGTATGAAAATACCAAGAAATGGATTTTTAAAAATCCTAACTGTGCAGGGTCTGGAGCGTTAGTACAGTGGGTAGGATGTTTGCCTTTTACACGGCCAACCCAGATTCAATCATCACATGGTCCCCCCAGCAGCACCAGGAGTAATTACTGAGTGCAGAGCCAGGAGTATCCCCTGTGCATCACCAGGTGTGACCCAAAAAGAAAAAAAAAAATCCTAACTGTGCAGACTCTGATTTGCCCCCCCCCCACCACCACCACCACCACCACACACTCACCTTTGGCTCAATCTTGATCAGTGCAAGATCCAATTTATGGTCAATGTCCTTGACGGTTGCTTCATACTGGGCCCCACTCTGAAGCTCCACCTGGATCCGCTGCCGGTTGGTGAGTACATGTGCGTTGGTGACAATGAGCCCATCCTCAGATATTATGAATCCAGAGCCACTGGACACAGGAATGTCCTTGCCACTGAGAGGCGACCTGTCTCAGGAGACAACAGCAGCATAAGTGGGCTCTACCACATCTGGAAACCCTGAGCCTCACAGTTTTCAAGCTTACCTCCCCTACCATTTATAAGACATTTGGCTTTTTTCTGAGTCTGCTTCCCCTCTCTCTAATCGACAATCCACACAGGCCCTAGTCATCGCTCACGGACATAAATGATGGCAGATGCCTTGTCCCCTTTTCAGCGACAAATTCTTCTCCAGGGCTGGTCTGCTCAAAGGAGCCTAGGCTGATCACAGTACTTCTAGCAACAGTAGACTTCTGTGCCCCATTTTCAAATGCATCAGGGAGGAAGTCCATGACGTCGAAGTCGGCTGTTTGCCCTGCTTCCACTACTAACTGGACCTTCTGGCGTGAGACACATTATTTTGTTTCCTGACATGCAAACCAAAATACTGGGACGGATCATGCTCAAGATGCTTTCTAATTGTGTGTGTGTGTGTGTGTGTGTGTGTATGTGTGTGTGTGTAGGGGGGTAGGGGAGTTGAGAAGGGAGGGAGAAAGGTAAATCTGATAAGAGGGCCAGAGAAACAGCTCAATGGTGTACTTGGTCCAATCAAGGCACTGCTGGGCCTGAGAGAAAACACAGCAGGTAAAGTACTTGTCTTGCACATAACCTGATTCAGGTTCAATCCCTGGCACCACCTATGGTCCACGGAGCACCACAAGGACTGATCCCTGAGCACAGAGCCAGGAGTAGACCCTTAGCACATTTGGGTGTGGCCAAAAAAAAAATAATAATAACAACATTCTGGGGAACTCTTTTGGACTCCCAAGGACCATAGCACGAATCCCTGAACACCCATCTGGGAATAATCCTTAAGCACCACAAAGTATGACCCCCCCAAAAAAAATTCAAGAAAAGAGGTTAATTGTATGATGATGGAATTGGACTTTGAGTGGTAAATTTAATGTGGGGCATGTAGACGTTGATTTATAATGATGCGCATCTGAAACATCTAACTTTATAAAGCAGTTCATTTTCTTTTTTAATTCAGAAATGAAAATGTGTCTCAAGGATGGCTTCTCACTCTTCCATCTGATCTTATATTTACCAGTGGGAAATGTGAGCAGAGGGGCAGAGAGCCCCTGGCGCTTGAGAGCGGAGGTGCCCAGTTTCGGAAGAAGGGGAAGGACCCTGGACCCTCCTTCAGGCCCTCGTGGCTCTTGCCTCCCGGCGTGTTTGACAACGGATTGGCGCTCGCAAAGCGGTCGCGGGACACTCGGAAACCGCCCTCCCCCTCCCCCCGGGGTTCGCGGCCACCTCCTGCTCCGGGCCTTACCTGCGGAACAGCTGCAGGTGAACCACAGACGGCGCCACCTTCTCCACCACCGCGGCAATGAAGTTGAACTTGCTGCGCAGCCGGCCCGCGCTCCGGGCGCCTGCGAAGAAACGCTCGTCTCGGGGCGGCAGCGGGACCCCGCGCCTAGTCTCCCCGCTCTGTCTCCTCGCGCCCAGTCTCCCCGCGCCCCGTCTCCCCGCGCCCTGTCTCCCCGCGCCCCGTCTGCCCGCCCCGCCTCCCCGTCTCCCCGCACCCCGTCTCCCCGAGGTCTCCCCGCGCCCCGTCTCCCGCTCCCCAGTTCCCCGTCTCCCCGCGCCCCGTCTCCCGCTCCTCAGTTCCCCGTCACCCCGCGCCCCGTCTCCCGCTCCCCAGTTCCCCGTCTCCCCGCGCCCCGTCTCCCTCTCCCCAGTTCCCCGCCTCCCCGCGACCCGTCTCCCCGCGCCCCGTCTCCCGCTCCCCAGTACCCCGTCTCCCTGCGCCCCGTCTCCCAGCTCTGTCTCCCCGCGACCCGTCTCCCCGCGCCCTGTCTCCCCGCGCCCCGTCTGCCCTCCCCGCCTCCCCGTCTCCCCGCGCCCCGTCTGCCCTCCCCGCCTCCCCGTCTCCCCGCGCCCCGTCTGCCCTCCCCGCCTCCCCGTCTCCCCGCAACCCGTCTCCCCGAGGTCTCCCCACGCCCCGTCTCCCGCTCCCCAGTTCCCCGTCTCCCCGCGCCCCGTCTCCCTCTCCCCAGTTCCCCGTCTCCCCGCGCCCCGTCTCCTGTCTCCCGGCTTCCCAACTCCCTGTTTCCCCGCGCCCCCTCTCCCCGCCCCGTCTCTCCCGTCGCCCCGTCCCGTTCCCCCCGTGCCTGGTTCCGTGCGCCCACAGGGCCGCCCCGCGGAGGGGGTCGCGGGCTCACCGGGCTGGGCGCAGCGGCCCCTCTGCACGGGCACGGCGGGCGGCGCTCCCCGGAGGCGCGCGGCGCGGTTCTCAGCCCGCAGCTCGCACAGGCTGCGGTAGGTGCGCCCGTCGCTGCCGCACACCGGAGCGCGCGCCTCGGGGCAGACACAGGTGCCCGCGCCGCACTGCAGGCCCGGGCCGCACGGCCGGCCCCGCGCCCCGCCGCACGCCTCGCCTTCGGCCGCCGGGCACACGCGGCAGCAGCCGCAGCCGTCCAGCACGGGCGCCGCCCCCGCCGAGCAGCTGGGCAGAGGCGGGCAGCGCGTGGGCTCGCACACGGAGGGGCAGGGCGGCGGGGCTCGGGATCGCGCGGGCTCGGCCCGGGGCGCCCAGGGGAGCAGCCACAGGAGCAGGAGTTGGAAGAGCCCCGCAGGTGCCCGCATCGGCCCGCTCATCCTGCCCTCTGGGCCGGCACCTCTCCAGCTCCCGCAGCGCCCAAGGGTCCACCCTCCCTCTCTGCAGCCAGGGAGGTGCCCTCTCCCGCCGGCGCCCGGACTTTAAGGGGCACAACCCCGTCGACGCCCAGTCACACACGCCCTCCGCCGGGCCCACCCCCGGGCAGCAGGAGAAGGCCCCGGGCCATGAGCAGGGGTAGGTGCAGTGTCCGTCCAATAACACTAACGTGGAGGCAGGGTGACCACCCATGTACCGACAGGAAGTCAGTGTTAGGGAAAACACGCCATATTTCTGGGCTTCACATGGATTTTATTACAAAACAAGCAACAAAAACAGTTTTTGAAATTTTATTTTTGCGCCATACCAATTAGGTCACACGAAACGAGAAGCGTAACACTTTCCATGCGCTCAGCTCAGCTGTGGACACCCAGTGCACTGCACAGCTGAAACATACTGGGTCAAAACAAATCATGCCACACCTTAAGCAGCAGTGAGCGAAGGGGGTCAAACAGTTATGTTTTTGCAAGGAATAACGTGGAGAGAGAGAGAGAGAGAGAGAGAGAGAGAGACAGAGAGACAGAGAGACAGAGAGACAGAGACAGAGACAGAGACAGAGACAGACAGAGACAGAGATAGAAAAGGAAGATGGGAGTGATGCTGGTAGGAGACTTTAATAAATCTGCTCCCATTTCTCACATAGTCAAAGATCATAAACAAAGCTGATTTAGGAAATTTCATTTCCAAAATGCTGCTACCTCGATAAGATGGTTTGTCTAATCATGGAAACAAAAAAGCAAAACCTTTATTGAGTCTACTATTTATTTGTTGAATCCTCTGTTTGCCCATATTCAGGAAGGAAAAAAAAACTGTGCTATAGAGAAGCTAAACCATCAACATACTCTTTCTTGTGTGAACTCAGCATTCTATTCAGAAATAGATATGTAACTGCAGTTCCTGGCATGTTGTCATTCCTCCGTGTTCTCATACCTTAGCATTCTTATGTTCCCCAAAACACAAAAGTCCACATAAACTATGTTCACTAGCCACCGCCTGATCTTGGGTACGCAAACTTTTCAAAGCTTTCCAAAAAAGTAAATGGTAAATAGTGCAGCTAGAAATAATGCTATCTGAAATACTGTTACACATATTAACTCTCAAGATTTGAACAGTCTAAAGAAAGCAACACAATTCAATCATTTTTATTTCAGGTAGAAATACAGAGCCTTATTTAGTTCCTTTATTTTAAAAAGTAAAATTTATTCCAGAACCTGTGTACCTAACTACTAATCTATACTGTATTTCCCTCCCCCCACCCTGTTTTTCCTATTAATTCCATTTTACATAAAACCATGCTTTGGTCAAGTATGCACTCTCTTTGGTTTACACTTGTAATGGCATTAAAAGATTGTGATGTGGGGGCTGGAGCAATAGCACAGCAGGTAGGGCGTTTGCCTTGCACGCGGCCAACCCTGGTTCGATTCCCAGCATCCCATATGGTCCCCAAGGGTAATTCCTGAGCGCAGAGCCAGGAGGAACCCCTGTGCATTGCCGGGTGTGACCCAAAAAAGCAAAAATTAAAAAAAAAAAGATTGTGATGTAAAATTGGCCAGATGTTAATAGGGACAGAAAAAGGAATCTTTTAATATGGTTTGTGAATGAAAATGCTTTTATATTTTATTAAAGATTTATTATATTTAGCGGCTGCTGGAAATATATTAATAACATTATGAACTACCAAGTATTTGCAACTACAGCTCTAGTTTTCCCTCTATTCTAATAATACAATCTGGTTTTATAAGTATTTTATTTTAATGTAAAACATTCTCAGGCCAGAGAGATTGTAAGGATGAAGGCACTTGCCCTGCATGCGGCCAACCACAATTCGACCTTCTATGGTGCATATGGTCCCCTGAGCACTGACAGGAGTGATCCCTGAACACAGAGCCAAGAGTGATCCCTGAGCACAGAGCCAGGAGTAAGCCCTGGGCACTGCTGCGTGTGGAAAAAAAGACAAAAAACAAACAGCCTCAGTGTTTCTTACCAAATAAGGAACATCCGTTTACTATAATGACCAATTAGCTAATTTAGCAGTGGTGATGAGCAGAGTTTAACATGTAGCTCAGTGGCACTGCATGTGCGCTGCGTGTACAAGGCCCTGCCATATTCTGTCTCTGGAAGACAGATACAGTGTGTGTGTGGTGGTGGGGGAGGATGGGTAGATATTCTCCATTCATGTCTTGTACCTCACAGTGCTTAGGGGCCACATGTGCTCTGACACTTAGCGGTCTCCTGCACCCCATTTTATAACTACACATCAAAAATATCACATATTTCTTAGGGAATGTTTTAAGAGAGAGCAAACATTTCTCATTTAATTCTATTCATTCAATATCACTTACTTTATTTTTTTTTTACCCTGCCAAAGAATTTCTTGAGAAAAATTTGAAGTCAGGGAAGAGGAGTTTAAGAACATGGAGTGGCAATCAACTGCTTGAAATACGTTATGATCTCTATCACGCATAATAAATAAGTCCCAAACCAACTTTTGTCCAAGAACTAAGGACAAAAGTATGAGTCTGCAGAAGACAGCGATGAGAGAGGTGAGGCCTGATGATAAATTTCCTTTGTTTTGATTTGGGGGTCAGACGCAGCAGTCATCAGGAGCTACTCCTGGCTCAGTGCTTGCTTCAAGGCCTCTCCTGAAGGAGTCAGGGACGGAACCTGGGCCTTCTTCACGCAAAGCATGTGCTCCAGCTTCTTGAGCTGTTTCTTCAACCCTGATTTCCTTTTTGATAGCGGAACCACTAGGCTAAACTTAAGTGACGATGGTTCCAGGATAGCACAGTCGAGAAAACTCAGCATGACACTGAGTTTAAAAAAACTTGCAGTGCCTGCAAAAAGTGGAAGATTCGAATTTTTCTCTCAAATAATTAAGACTTTTCATGTCACAGAGTTTCACTTCTGCATTCGATTTGGCCCCAAGCAGGGGAGGCAATTTAGATTAAAAAAAAAAAACCTTCTTACTTTTCCTGGAGTCATTAACTTTTAATTAAAAGTATAATTAACTGATATAATTAGTAAAAGTTATAAAGAAAAATAAACAATGCCTTCTTGCCCTTTATGGAACATGAATAAGTTCCTGACTGACTATATAAGTTAGATGAATTCTCTCAGAAACCTTGAAAACTGTACCTTGTCAAATGAAAGAAAACACACTTGAGTAGGAAATGCAGTCTTCCAGGCTCTGCTTCCTGTGAAATCTCCAGCCAGCAAGGTATAGCTTTTAAATTTGTGTTTCCAAGCATGGTTTATATTTTACTAAAAATGTAAGTATCTCTCAAGATCTTTCTGTATGAAATACCTTTGTATCTATTCACTGGTAAGCCTCACTGCATTACTAGGTTTTATCATGCAATTACACAAAATTTCATTTAAAGAACAACATAAAGAATACATAGAAAGTCTGCAAGAATATACAACATATAGTATTTAAAATCAGACTAATTTTAGAAAGAACTGTGGAACAAGGATTAGGGGAAATCTGTCTTTGCAAAACAGACCTTTTTCTGTATGGAAAAAAAATGGATCAAAACACCTTAGTTTTGTGAACAAGAATCCATCTCTTCCTAATGCCTACCGTAAGCAAATCTAAAATTCTTAAAATAAAATGACATTCCATCTATCACACGTACACACTCTCACACATTATCGACTGTCCACACGTGCCAAGTAACACCTCTGCAAGAGAAGCGTGGACTGCGGCCAATAGTCACGACACTAGATGCAGATGACCCCATTGTTGGTACTGCCCCGGTGAGCTGGGTGGGCTAGTTTGACAGTGTTAGGAGTCAAAAAACATCTAGACGGGAAGAGAAATTTCCAAAGTTGGCTGATGCTTTGGGGTTAAATCATTACTAATATGTTACAAGAAAATCTCTTTCTTCCTCTCTGGAGGGTCACAGAGAGATTCTGAGGAGAGTGGGATTTCTGAGTGCTACCCACAAGCTCCCAGACTTTAACACCTCCCTGAAGAGTGAATCCCAGCAAGTTGGAGCCTAAGTCTCACCCCCCCCCCAACACCCCCCTCCCCGCCTCCTCCCAGGAGATTCACTCTCTGACTTCAGGATCAGACTTTAGCCACTACACAGAAGCAGGGTAAGAGGCAACCTGCACTCCACTGAGCGTGTCTGTGTCTAATCTAGTGAGCTCTTCACAGCAAGTACACACACTGGTCTTCTAGAAAGTCAAAGTCCAGTCGGATGGGCCCCTCCCAAACCTCCACAGAATCTGAGAGCCACACAGGCCTGTGAATGTCCTCCAAATGAAGGCGTGAGCCTTGGCCTCCTTGCCCTGCCTTCTCCTCCCGACCCCCAGAACCATATGCCATCACACATCAGAAGTCCGAATGTTTTCATCATCCAGGTTGAAGAGAAATGGTTTCTCCTTGGCGTGATGGGGCTCTGATTTGTGCCTTATCCGAGAGCTGGGGAGGGGCCGGGTGCTCTCCCCAGGTGAAGATGTGAACAGAGAGTCCTCAGGAGTCTCTTCAGTGGGCAGCAGCTTTTCTTCAGCCTGAGGGACAGGTGTCCAGGGCTGCCAGGAAGAGGCCACAGAGGGGGCTTTGCCAAGGGCTCTTTTCTCTTCCCCAGGGGGTCGTCCTCTGCACCGGAGAGAGTTGGGCCCACCTGATGGGTTGGAGCAGCCAGCACGAGTCCAAGAAATGGACCTAGAAAAGGAGATTTCCTACAAAAATAAAATGGGAAGAGGGAGAGGGAAAAGAGAGAAAAAGGCCAGTGAGGACTTTCTCAAGACTGTTTCCCTCTCTCCCAGGAAAGAGTACCCACTTCCAGAGATATTTCTCTAAACCAAATACATCCCACAGGACTCACACCAAGATGGAGCCAAGTCTGCCTGAGCGTCATACATGACACATGAGAAATCTGTTCCTCTATCCAGCCATACCTCACCTCCCCCAGTAAACCAAAAATAAATACAAGAAAGTGAAAAACAAGTAAGATAGCCTGGGGCTTCAGTGGCACCCAGGGACCAGGCTAACTGCCCACATCACCACATAAATGATGCCCACTGGGGGAGAATTCGCCTCTGAGTGACGGCAACGATGCAACCGAGAGGAAGTGACTTACTTTGGGGTGGCACTTGAGTGCCTGGGCAGCTGCTCCGATCTCCTTAATCCAGCTGTGCATTTCTTCAGGACTGTCTGCCTGTAAAACATCCACAACACTCACAGAGCAGGTTTTAACACTATGACCTCAGCGTTTAAGTCTGAACTTAAAATTATGACTCAATTTTAAGTTCATAAAATCACCCCATTATAGCTGGACAGACTCAAGAGACATCCAGACCAGGGGAGTTCAGGCTTTTCAGGACATTTCTCCCTATAAAATCTTATTTTCGTCAATAAATAAAACAAGTTAAAAAGGAACTTCTCTGCAGGATGGCAGGAAAGAGCATGGAGGCCTACTCCCTATTCAAATTCTTCACCTTTTATGGGGCCAGAATGATAGTGCAGAGGGTGGGGCATTTGCCTTGCACACAGCTGACCTGGGTTCGATCCCTGGCATCCCATATGGTCCCCCAAGCATCGCCAGGAGTAATTCCTGAGTGCAAAGCCAGGAGTAACCCCTGAGCATCGCTGGGTGTGACCCCCCACCCCCCAAAAAATTCACCCTTTACAATTAATATGTTCCAGCTCTCTATGTCACAAAAAGAGGGATCAGAGTGATAGCAAATTCATTGCATGCAGACAACTCCAATCTGATCCCCAGTACCATATGGTCCCCCAAACGTCACTAGGTGCTGGAAGTCCCCAAAGCACCACAGGGTGTGGCCTGGACTCCTGCAATGAACCAAGAGTCATGGAAAGGAGCCTCTGGGGAACTTCCCTGCCCTACAGAAGAAACTAAGACCCAGAAGACCAAAGCGCAAGGTCTATGGCTGGTGCTGACCTCAGTTTTATATGGACCTCTGTCTACAGTCAGCTTTGCACCATCAGAACAGAAGAATCCCTTTCCACTCTCGTCTGTAAACGCAAACTCTGCAAATCCCCTAGGCACAGCTTCTCCTGAAGCACAGCTACTCAAGCCTCTGGACTTTCCATGTAGGCCTGGGATGTTGTAGGACTCGCATCACCTGCAGCAATACAGGACTGAGCGGAGCGCCGAGTATTTCTCCGGAAATACCTACCGAGCCCAGAAGGGGGCAGCAGTGGCTCTGGCGAGACGGAGAAAATGAGGCTGAGCCTGGGCAGTGGATTGCGCTGCATTCAGTGCTCAGCGTCACAGCCGAGGAGCTGCAGCCAACCTTACCCGGGCCAGCACAGAGAGGCATCAGGGGCCAAGCACCGGCACAGGGCTAGGGCTGAATCTCTGACTTCTGTTCTCTGTCCCGGCCCTTTACCTGCCATTTCCACCTCCAAGTCACAGGAATGCATTTATGCATCAGTGTTTAAGATGACATACCCTGGCCCAGCCTACAACGGCTATTTTTTTTCCCCCACAAACCCTTCATTTTCTTCATCCCCCGCCCCAAATTTACCTTTGCATTATACTAAAATAAACATGATGAGAATTAGAAAATTCTCCAGCTAGCCTCCCTTCCCATTTTTGTCACGCCAAATACACCCTCCTTGCCTAGATGTGTACAAGGGAAAACAGCTTCAATCCTAATGGCACACCAGCTCAGAAAGGAGGTAGCAGCAAGTGCTCAGGGAGGACGCTCCTCACACACTGTGCTTTGCCCCTGCTTCCCAGCACATCCCCAGCAGAAAATGACAACCGAGAGAGAGTCCTCAAGCTTGCTCTGGAAGGCAGCAGGGTCAGCTTGTTCCACAAGTAGAATTGGGAGAATTCATCAAGTCAATTTGGGTAAAGCAGTTTGAACATGCCTCACACAAAGAAAGGGATTCAGAAGTTCTTGTTCTTGTGTTACTATTGTTATTACATGATGCAATATGGAGAACACAAATGAATCCTTAAATCCCATCAAAATAAGTTCCCTGCCCTCTTCCTCAGACTTCTTTCCACTTTTCTCAGACTTGAGATTAGGTAATGCCAATGAAGGATCAAATTGTAAGGATCAACTAAACAGTGTCTTTACTGTGTGAGATATTTTGAACTGGAATGAATTATTATAGAGTTCATTATTTAAAACAAACACTCCTACACATTTCTTGCAGATTTCCATTATAGGGAAATGGAGGATGCTCTGGTAGGGGGGAGCTTCAGAAGACTGAGGGAAAAGGCAGGGCTAGCGAGAGACACATGTGCAGATCCAGGATTTTCATTAAGCAGATTGCAAGATCCTCAAAACAATTCAACAATCCATTTCCTGGGATATTAGCTTCCTTCTGCTCCTCCTACCATTCATGCCAAAAGTTAGCCCCACAGGTACAGGCTGCCTGATCATCCTTGGAGACCACCAGCACAAACTCTCATCTCCCCTATAGCAATGATCACACAACAACAGGAGTATCTCCGCTCCAGACTCTGCTTAAAAAGGAGCCATTACATGGGACAAAACGAGAAACCACCTGATTTAATAGCTAACATAGTATAAGAATCGAAATCCTAGCGGCATGAAAACAATGATTTCAATATTATCGTAAACTAAAAAACTACTCTAAACAATAAAAAGGTAATCAAAATCCCCTACCGTGTATTTCTATCACTTCTGATTCTCCTCTAAATAATGCTGCCATAAAGGCTCTTGTTACAAGTAGATCAGGGATATTTCTGACCAAAACAATAGATTTAAGTTATCAGCAATACGTAACTTTGAAATGAGCCATTACACTAATCAAATATTTAAAATTTAAAATCTGGAGCCAGAACTAGTTCAAAGGGCTAATGTACATGCATGTTTTGCCTGTGGGAGCAGCAAATTTGGTCCTCAATACATCATGTTCCCCACATCACGACTGGCCGCAACCCTGAGCAAAAGAGAACAGAGTAGCCCCCAAGAATCACCAGGTACACCACAAAACATAAACAATATTTGCAAAGGTAATGAAATAAACCTCATTCTCAAAACATTTAGTGTGCAACAGAGATACATTTGTTTAGTTTAATAATAGAGATGAAAATTGTTGGGGGCTGGAGCGATAGCACAGCAGGTAGGGCATTTGCCTTGCAAGTGGCCGACCCGGGTTCGATTCCCAGCATCCCATATGATCCCCCAAGCACCGCCAGGAGTAATTCCTGAGCGCAGAGCCAGGAGTAACCCCTATGTATCACCGCGTGTGACCCAAAAAGCCAAAAAAAAAAATTGTTCGCTAGTTACACTTCCTCCTAATTCTCTAATTCGCTTTAAGGAAACTTTTCTGTCAGACAACTTAGGTGATTAACAAGCAGTGTGGGTAACAGTACCATGAGGACCAGGGAAGCAGCGGGCCTGAGAGAAAGCAGTGGATAAGGCTGACCTGGGTTCAATCTCTGGCTCCACACAGTGTCCCACAGCCCTGCCAGGAGTATCCTGGAGCACAGAGCCAGGGGTGGAGGGTGGTGTCTAAAAAAGTGGGGACGGGGGCTGGAGGTACTGCGGAAGTAGCTCAAAAGGCTACATCACACACTTCATACACAGGAGGCCTAAGGTTTAATCATTGCCACCACATGGTCCCAAGCACTGAGCCTGGGGTAGCCCCAGAATCGCCAAGTGTAGACCCCAAACCAAAATAGCACAGCACTGTAGCACTGTCTTCCCGTTGTTCATGGATTCGCTGGAGTGAGCACCAGTAACTTCTCCATTGTTAGACTTGTTATTACTGTTTCTGGCATATCGAATATGCCACGGGGAGCTTGCCAGGCTCTGCCGTGTGGGTGGGATACTCTCAATAGTTTGCCGGGCTCTTGGAGAGGGACAGAGTCGAACCGGGGTTGGCCGTGTGCAAGGCAACTGCCCTACTCACTGTGCTATCGTTCCAGTCCCCAAAACAAAATATTAATAATAAACATCATTTTAATATTCAAATTAAAAAGCAGGTATTATCATAGATCCTATATGAGAAGAAATACAATTTACTTTACATTATTAACACCACCATGGTATTATCTTAAGAACAGGAATTCAGAGCCAGAGAGAGAGAGTTCAAAGGGCCGGACCACAAACTTTGGCACGTGGGAAGGCTGGGGTGGACCCCCAGGCCTAGAAGCTGGGAATTCCCCCTATACAGAGAGCCAGGGTAGTCCCTCACTGCTCTCAGGGGGCCACCCAAGAAACAAGAATGGGGAACCAGGAGAAACAAAATGGAAACCTCAAAGGTTAGTGCAAACTTTTGAATGTAAATTTATCTTTAAGGGACAGCATGTGCTCAGTTTTCACCAAACACTCAAAATACCTTAAAAGCACAACCCAGAATTACCTTGATGAGCCAGAGATGGAAAAACAGCTGAAATCTACCCAACCCACTAAGAGACAAAAATCTACTTAAGATGTAACTGAACACAAAGGGAAGTGCCACACCCAAGCCTTCTTTTCTTCCTGTATGCTAATTTGTTTTAGCATTTGTTTGAAAAGAAAAAGGGTTTTGTCCTACAGGGCAGTTCTTGGGGTAAGAGAAACCAAAGCTACCAAGAGTCACTGTAGCCTAGGTGTTTCACTATCGCCCAAAAACTTTCAGCGAGGACTAACTACAGGACTAGCACAACAGAAGCAATGAGAAAGAATTCAGAGGACATCGGGAAACCTCCCAATATCTACTCCTCAACGCTTCCATTATAGCCTCCAAATTGGGGGGCAGCTCTGCAGTCTTCTCTCCCCAACATCTGACAATCTTTACCCCTACCCAAGAGCCAGTAGCATCTTTAGACACAGCCACAAAGTACATCCTCATGAAGATGAAGGCTGTGTCCTGCCTAGTTCTCCATAGTGACATTCATCTTGTGATCTCATTTTTTTCCTTGTAAGTCTAAATTAAAATAATAGTGTATCTGAAGAGATCTAGCGCAACATTCTGCCATTCCTACATGGCCCTCCTACTGCTATGCTTGTCCAGACACAGCCCCCTAATTCTGACAACCGCACTTATCACAGTTACCCTAACCAGATTGACTTATATTTTTTTCTCTTTTCTTTCTGTCGGGGGGGAGGAGAGCGGTTTGGGCCACAGGGTGGTGCTCAGGGACCATTTATGGACCTTGCTCAGGCGTAACCCTGCCTGACACTTGGGGACCATCAGGAGTGCCAGGGATTTTAACCAGAGTTAACC